CCAGCAGCGAGGCAGGGGGCCCAAGGGTGCCCCTTCCCCCCGGCCGGGGGGGCTCACCTGGTACTTGAGCAGAGCCACGTTGTAGTAGGAGGCGGCCGGACTCTGCTCTGCTTGCTTCTGCAGGTGCCCGGTCAGCGCTGCCATGTTCAGCCAAAAATCCTTGGTGCTGGGGTCGCTCTGGGAGGGGTCGCTGCAGGGACGGGGTCAGATTCTCCCAGCACCCCGATACTCAGCTCTTCGTTGCTGTGCCCACTGGCTCTCAAGGATGCTCAGCCCCCCTGGGAACCCCAGGTACCCCAATACCCAGCTCCCCATCACTGCCTCTGCTGGCTCCCAGGATGTCCAGGCATCCCCAGGAAACTAGGGACCCCCTGTACCCCGATATACAGCTCCCCACCACTGCATCCACCAGCTCCCAGGATGCCTGTGCCTCCCTGGCACCCCCTGTACCCCAATACCAGCTCCCCATCACTGCATCCACCAGCTCCCAAGGTCCCTGCATTCCCCCCCAGGCACCCCCTGTGCCCCAATACCAGCTCCCCATCACTGCATCCACCAGCTCCCAAGGTCCCTGCATTCCCCCCAGGCACCCCCTGTACCCCAATACCAGCTCCCCACCGCTGCACCCCCTGGCTGCTGGCCTGCCCATGTGTCCCCATGCAGCCGGTGCCATGGTGGCACCGTGTCCTCACACCTGTAGAGCAGCTCGGCGTTGGGCAGGAACTGCTCGATGGCGCCGGCGTTGAGCAGGCGGAAGCTGAGCACGGGGGGGGCCATGCTCCCGCTGAAGACACGGACGATGCCGGCGGGGAAGGACATGGTGAGCTCCCCCGTCACCTTCACCAGGCAGCTGCCGGGGACAGGCCGGGGGTCAGTGGATGCCCCAGGCAGGACACCGCAGCTGGGGGGGGGGTACCCTGTCCCCCCTGGGACCCCCGTACCTGTCGGCGTCACGCCCCTTGAAGTACGCGTGGACGTATTCGGTGAAGGCGGTGGCCACGGGGAGCGCGTCCTGCGAGCCCAGCACCACGGGGCTGGGACCCCGCGACAGCCCTGGGGAGGCAGACGGGGTCAGAGCCCAGA